AGATAGCTCTGACTGCACCCCTCAGCAGACCTCAACCCCAGGACGTACGTTTATTTTTTCTTTTTTATCAGGGCACCAAGCTGCTGCAGGGTGATAAGCAGGAGAGGAGCAAGGAAAGGATCCACACCAAATTACCGCAGTTGTTTTTAATTAAGAGAGGCAGGGCCTGATCTAAAAGCCAGCAAGGTGGAGGGACCCGAGTGCTGGTATGATGTCCACAGGAGGTCTCATTTGCTTAAATTAGATGACCCCACAAGGGCTCAGATTGATGAAATCCACTTCATCCCCTCGGTGGCTACCCAAGTAACTCCACTGAGCATCCCCAAACCAGCTCGCCCTCTTACACCAAAGCCCCTGCTTACACCAAAGCTTCTCCGAGCAAGTACCAGGTCCCTGATCATAAGCCAAGGCACCCTCTTATTTTATTCCAAGCCTGGCCAACATGATGGAGATCGCATGAAAATTAAAAATTTAACGACTCACTGTAGAGGGAAGGGGGGGAAAAAAAAAAAGTGTTGAGCTCATGACTAATCTGCAGCTCTTGCTATGGACAGGATTTGTACAGCCATGTTGATTTTTTATAAAAATAGTAAATCGTATTACCCCCATGCTGCAAGACCAAAGATTCACAATGATACCTTAATACAGCTTAAATAAAAATAGCACTACCTGAGTCAATCTGAGGATGATAATGCTTTGTAATCCCACACTATTAGAGGATGAACAGTTGTATAGCAGTGAATCAACATGAGATACTTGCATTAGGAGACGCTCCTTTTTCATGCTATATAGCAACATCTATACAAAATGTAGAAGGCAGGTGGCATTTGTAGGAGGCACAGTACACGACGGGGAAAACAGCGCTATTATAGAATAATCCAAACCCAGCACCCTGCTATCTTCCAGTTTGGAAATCTTAGCTAATAACTCACATTTTTATTTTCCCCATCACAGTAAAGAATTGTTGAAAAAGTTTGAATTTTAGGAGTTCTCGAAAAAGTGGGCAATCCCGAAGCCTGTGTGCAACCAGGCAGAAGATTAATTCATAAAAACAAACATGGATGAATAGCAGCGTTGCACATTCATTCTGGGTTTTTTCTTAATATCCTTGAATGAGCAAACAACATATATGGAAAGCAAACGCACAACACAACATAGAAATGCCTCATCAGTGAAAATAATTAAACCTTTTTATATTAAAAATATAGACAACAGACTCAAATACCAATTTTTAAAGGTGGTAGGGGGGAAAAAAGCATGCTTTGATTAGTGACACATTAAACCATAATAAATTCTTCTTAATTACTTCGTTACGTAAGCCACTTACACGAGGTACTTAATTTGCTATTGTGCTCCCCATTTGTTCTTTTTTAAGACACATTTTCCAATTAATTGCACCTTTTTTTTCCCCCCACTGCGGTATAGTCGTATGTATGGCAGACATCTGGCCCGCGCAGCTTCCTCCGGAGGGTTTCAGCAGACTGTGGGGAAAGGTAACAGGAAAAGGTAACAACGGTGAAAAGTCTCCGTTTCCCCAACAGGATTTGAATCCTTAGACCAGGGAGTTTTCCAAGGCTGTAGCTCAGAGGATGCGCAGGGAAAGGGGAAAACAGCCTCAAACTCCCCCTTGTCTTGCCTGCTCCCTCCTCCTCCTCCACTCCAGTGCTCAGCCTGGCTCTGCTGCTGGTTTTCCCTCCCCGCAGAGCCCAGATGCTCAGAGGAAGGGTGACCCTGCGGGACCCTGGAGATGGGGACACGGGTGGGCTGTGGGGAAGACCGGGAGATGCTGGCAGGGACAGCAGAGGAGGAGCTGTGTCGGTAGGCACTGGGGCTCAGGGATGAGGACATCCCAGTGAGGGGGGATGTCCTAGCGATGGAGAAGGTCCCAGAGCCAGGCCATGGGGAGGTGCCCACAGCCCCACTCTATGCACAGGAGTATTTCCAAAAACACCCCAGCACCAACAGCAACAGCATCCACTGATTTCAATGCCAAGCCACAGGTGGTCCTGAGGTATCTCCAGGAGCCCAACCCTCCAGTACTCCGTGTGACCTCCCATTCAGGGGGAGCCACCTTCCCTCGAAAACAAAGGTCGCACAGGTTTCAGCTCAGCGTGCAGTTTAAAAGTAAAATGTTTCTCAAAGCCAGTTTGGTAGGGCAGATCTGTCAGTCTTTGGCTGCAAAAAGATTCACTTCAAAACTCAAGTCCTGGATGTTGAAGCGATGCACGCCAGCACTGGACTGGAGGATTGAGAAGCCCCATTTCAGCTGCAGAGCCCCATGTCCATGCAAGCAACAGGCAGTCTCCGCTGTTTTTCATGCCATTTCATGCCCTATCCCCTGCCTCCCTTGGCTGTGGGGCACGGCTGCTGGTGCGCTCCCCCGAAACAGCACAGAGACTACGGTGATGCCACTGCTGCAGCCCCACCGCATCACACCTGGGACCGAGATGGCCCTCACGCCCACATCACACCTCCAACCCCCGGGCACAAGCGCCCCAGCAGCACCCTGAAACACGCCGAGGCATGAGAGACCCCCAGCACGGGTGCCAATTCGTCCGTCCTGCCCAGGGCGGCCCCAACGCAGGTGCGTCTCCCATCCTGTGTCTGGCTCCCCAGTCTCCGCTGCTCAGAGCTGCTTATGAGCTTACAGGCAGAAACACAGGTAAGCAGCTTGCCCCGTCAGAGCCCGCAGTACCCCATCAGGAGAGCACCCAAGTGCCTGTTCCCCCCTTCCCCAGCTGACACCCTCACCTCTAGGTGTGCTCAGCTGGCGTAAAATTTGAGCTACTTTCAGGCACTTTCATGTATTTTTTGTTTTCATTATGCTATACTTTTCTCTGAAGCCACCCATGCGCCACTGGCTACACATTACATTTTGCAAAATGCCCAGCTGGCTCAGCACTGGTCTGCCTTCAAGTCAGTCTCTTACTATATGCTAAATATGAACTGAGACAGCCAGACCACCGTAAGGCTCCATACAGAAACTGTCACACCCTGGAGATGTACCTTCATACTGGTACGGATCATCTAAATTCCCAAATTGGAATAAAGAACACACCTGAATTTGAAAAGGCGAGGAGGAATATCAAACATTAAAGCAGCAAAAATGTGATGTATAAACACTTGACACCTCTAAACTCTGTTGCCAAAAGTGCATCAGGAGCCCAGTTTTCCCCAACAGACCACAGGACCTTCATGCTTTTGAAAGCACTGCCCAAAGGGACTACCTAGGAGAAAGAAACATTAACTCTGGCAAGCACAGTCTGGAGTACTAACAAGTTTTTTTTACTGATAACCTATTCAGGTGTTACCTGAAACAACAAGAAAAGAAAATCCAATTGTAAGTACAATTTAAACTGGCAGTTTAAAATTGCCTGGCCTTTACACACACGGTATTACAGTCACCAACCCCATACTCCCCTCTGCCCTCAGGAAAAGAGAGCTTGATTCATCTTTCAGCATCTCAGAAAGATCAACTGATGATTCAGGTCCCAATATAGCAATTATCAGTACGAACAGTGTGCAGGTTTATAATACAGATCCAATCATAGCTGCAGGGCTGGGGGAGAGGAGAGGTTCATAAGCTGTTACTCACAAGAGCATTTTGGCAAAAGGCACACAGGATTCATAATTCGGCCTTATAAGACACATTGTTTATGGACGTAAGCCTTAGTGAGAAGAACTGTCTGGGGTTAAATTAGCTCCCCTTATACAGAAAACGTGGATAACACAGTTTATTAAGTAGGGGATGTTTTCATCGACAAAAGATGTAATTGGTGACAAATACATTCAAGTGGCATTAAATAAGACCCTTATAAATGTTAAATAAACATTTTCTGGCCAAAATGAAAACATACTTAAGGTGGACACAAGCACAGTACAACACACCAAACCCCAGCAACCTCCCCTGCCCCCACAAGAAACAAGTGCAGATGGCTACATTTCAGCTGTACGGACACTTCAAATCAACCTGGGACCATCTGTATCAAAAGGAACCTTATCTATGGAAAATACATTGATTTGGAAGATGGAGAAGTCCATTACAGGTTTGGGACATTCAACTGTAGTTCATCAGTCAGTCTGAACACACAAGAGCTTCAATAGCTTGTAACCTGTGCACTAGGGAAATGCAACTAAAGAATAAACTTCCTGAGCAATTAACGGGTAATGATATAATTTGGTTAATCTCATTGGAAAGAAATCTAGAATTGAAAGAGGAAACAGGGAAACAACGAAAACAAACAGCAAAGGGTGCTACAGAGCAGAGTCCCGGCTGGCATTTGCTGGAAGAGATCGGCTCCACCAGAGGAAAAGAAATTGCACTGATTTACATCAGCGTAAGAAGTGGCTCTCCGGCTGCAACGCCACAACATTGGCATTTCTTAGCAATCTCACTCTCCTGCAGCTCTTTACTGATTTAATGTTTCACTTACTTACAAAGAAGGACTTAATGAAGTGCATACAAATGAAATACATGGAAGTCTTGCGTGCGGGCAGGACAAAAATCAGTCACATGCAGCAGAGATTAGCACGAGTTACGCAGGTCATTTAACCCTCTGGACGTTGCATTCCTTTAGATTAACATAGACGGTCAGAACAGAAGGAAAAAAAAAACCCTGTTGCTCTCTGACACAGAAAACACTTTGCCCCACTAGACAGTGCAGGCTTTTAGTAAAAAATACAGCGTAATTTGTACAGATTTTCCCTAAAGTCAAATACTTTTAAAAATATAACATTTACTTCACTAATCAAGTCTCAGAAAATTCATTCTGGTGCAAAGGTGTTGTGGTTTAACAAAAGGTAAAGTTTAACATTTTGATGCCAAACCCCTCCTCAAAAATTAGCTCTAAAATTAAAGCATGCCACAAGCTCAACAAATGCAAATTTCTGCACCCAGTGGAGAACAGAAACCAATACTTGTATTTTCTATTACTAATTTAATTTTTCTATTACTCATTTAAAGAGTGCCTTGAAAGGAGCAGGCTCTGGAAAGTACTCACCACCTATCTTGGAACCTCTTCAGAGAAAGTCCACAGGGCTCGAATGCCTGGAGGAGAAGACACAAACCAAACATGCTTTACATTACAGCTTTCTTTTAAGTGACAACCTTCCCACTTTTTGGCCTCCCCTATAAAAACCAATTTTCCCAGCTGAAAAAGAAATCAGAATTAGTCTAAACATGCAAAAACTCTGCTCCAGTTCTTACCCTACACTGAGAAACCACTTTGTTGCCTGCATTTGCATTTTATTATGTGTCCTGAAATAGAAAACAGCTCCCATGTTGAAAAATGCACAGATTTCTCTCAAATTCGGACAGCAAATTCTTCTGGCATTCATAATCCTGAAACCACCCTACATACTTTAAACCTTTTTTGTAAAACTCATCTTTCACAATAAGCAAGTATCAAGTTCAGATTCAGAAGGTTTTCTTGGCTTATACCTCAAAATATTACTACACCAAGATCTAAAAAAAGGAGAAAAAGAAATAAAATATGAGGGAGCCAGTTTCAAGTTTTCTGGAGCCATTAAGCATTGCTCTGAAAGGTTAGAAATCACTTCTTTTTCCGTTGAGCATGCTTCTCAAGAAAGCAGAGTATAATAATTTGCATCCCTTCAGCATCTGCCAGCTGTGAATCCTGAGGGTTCATCAGCACTTAAGGAGTCACAGATGAGAGCACCAGGAGCGAGCTCACCTGCTCCTGCTATTCCTAATCTCTCAAAGTCTGTGGATTAGAAAATTGAAAACAAGTGACTTGCTCCAATTCCCACCCTCCCACAGAGCCTTCCATGATTTCCCCCAGCACCAAGGCCAGGCACAGCTGGGAAGCATTCATCTCCTCCAGCCCAGCGTCTCCAGCCCCACCACACCAACTTCTTTCCTGCCAGACCCTTGTCTGACCCAGTAACCCCACAACTTCGGCAAACAAAATCCCACCAGGTTTGGGACCCTACTCCCAGGTGCCTCCAGCCCACCCCTAACACACACATTTGGTCTGCCCAATGCAAAACCCCAGCCACAGAGATCCCAGACATTACCAAAGCCTCCCAACAGTGTCCTTCAACACTCCACCAATCCTACAAGTAGGAGTTTCTTCCTTTCGTGACACCATTCAAACTCGTTACCGCTTGCCCTAACCCCCCCAGACATGGGACAGGGGGTTCATATTTCTCCCCTCGCAGCAGTCTTCTAGACACTGCAAACCTGTTGTGCCAATCCTTCGCCTTCGCTCCAGACCAAACACCCCACTCCTTCCCATCTTTCCTCTTGGGTCCTGTTCTTCAGATCTCGGCTGGCCTCTCTCATTTCCTCCATGTCTTCCCCCAAATGCAGTGCCCCACACTGGCTCCAGTACTCCAGCGATGCCAAAGCACCAGCAGATGCAACACAGGACACAGCAAGTCCATCCTCCTGTTTATGGAAGACTGTCTGCTGCTCTTGGGGCAGGATGATGCTGGCAAAGCGGTGTGTGATCCACCACAATCCCAAGACGTTTTTCAGCGGAGCCCCTCCAACCACTCCTGGGTAGTCTGTACAGCCAACTCATTCACCAGGGATAACTCCAAGCCCATGTTAACGCCTTTGGGTGTGAATGATGGACCCTCCAAGTTAATTTTCTGGTTTTGTCCAAAGCTATTTGAAAATCTGATCCCTCCTCCCAAGTGCTTGTAATCTCCCCTAGTTTGGTGCTACCTGTTGAGTTTGAACCAGTATTTTATCAAATGCATCAATTACAATGACTCAAGCCACAGGGTCCACCTCTGTAAATCCCCACCCAGTACTTCTTCTGAGCTTGACAACATACTGGAGCTAAGCCTGGAGCATGGTTAGCACACCTACATTGCACTATCCATAAGGCAAAAGTTTCAGCAGAATTTCTTTTCCCTAGCTTCCTTCTGAGAATATCAAAACAGTGCCAAAAACCTAACTAGGATTGAAGTACATCATATCATCTGCTCTTCTTCTATCCACAAGACCTGTTAGCCTGCTGTAGAAGGAAATTAGGATGTCTGACATGATTTGTTCCAGACTAATCCATGCTGACTGTTACTCATAAGCACCCAGAAGATGTCTAGGTGGGAAATAATTTATTAACTTCCAGAAAAATACTGAAATAAAAGTCAGACTGACTGTACTGCAATTCCAACTCCTCCTTCTTAAAAAAATTTAGCACTATATTTTTTACTTTTTCATTGTTATGGAAACCTCACAAATTCTCCACAGGTTTTCAGAAATAATCACCCAGAAGAAATTGAAAAGAACCGAAGTCAAGCAGCCATCTGAAATCCAGCTCCTTCTACAAATCATGAGAACAAGACAAGTGTCATGGAGCTGAGGTCACAGCATCCCGCCCTGCCATGGGGTCACCAGCCACCCCCTGCAGGTGTCCTCTCCTCTGATCACTGGTGGTGCTGTTTGACCGGCTTTTACTGAAGACCAACCTTGCCACATGCATCCTCCCAACATCTGGGGGGTTGTTTCAAACAAACCCTTCCCTAAGGCCCAGAGAAGCTGGAAGAAAAAATACAGAAAAAGAGAAAAACCCTTAAGTGAGTGCTCCCTAAATGATTCTTTTCCTATTTTATCCTGGTATCTTCCCTCGTCAGTGCAGATGTTAACTACATCAGTCTTCTGCTCACAGGAAGGAAGATCCAAGACTCCATGAAATTTTCTGTTACTCTTGAGATCCCCAGGCAGGCACTCACAAACGTTGCAACCTGGCAGCCACACAAGCATTTAAACAAGTCATTTTAGCTTCAACATCTTTTTAGGAAGAAAACTAAGTATCCTTGTTTTATACAGAGATGGATGTTCTCTCTCCAAGCTGCTAATCCAATGAAACCCAATGGAAAGGCAAGGTAAGGATTGACCCTGGTCAATGGCAAAATAGGAAACACAACCCAGAAGCTCTTCCGATTTCTATTCCGTGTTGCTAGTACAAAATAGTTGTGCCTTCCCCATTCAACAAACCTTACAGAATAGTGCAAGATTATTTGGCCATATTTATACGTTCAAAATAAATGGCATTTCCCAGTCCTTGGCTAGATTCTGGCATCCTAAAAGACTTTCAGAAAAAAAAAAAAGGCTACTTACATTCTTATAATGATACAAAACCTTTGCTCCAACCTGATGGAGTAGAGGGTAACTGGACAGCACACGTTAATTTCTATGTTAACAGCACATGAAGTATTTAAATCCACTGCCAATTAAAAGTAAGGTATAATTGAATTAACAGAAGTAACTTATGACAGAAATTCAATTACAAAGCAGAATTAAAGGTGGAGACGCCAGTAACTTTTGAAGGCTGGGCAGGAAGAGGCGAGTGCATCAATCTACTATTTTCACAGCTGCTAGCAAAAAGCTTAAGGAGGAGACTGCTCCAAAGAATCACGTGTAAAGATCCTCCTTATGAAATGAGCTTCATTGACAGACTGGAGAAACCAAGGTGACAAAGGGTTTTTTTCAGACCCCGCTTTGACCTATCTGGCAGGGGTAAAACTCCCTCCCAATGGTCACGGATCACCCACACCTGCCTCCCCCGTGGGCACTGCAGCTCTGCCACGTCCTGCAGCATCCTCGGACCTGCCTTAGTTTGCACCAAAACCATTGCAGACACCTTTATTTTTCTTTAGTCTTGTTTTCCAAAGTGATTTTAACCCCATTCTCTGCTGAGATTTCTGTTGTGTCAACAGAATAAACTGCTGCCCCTCCTTTCTCTGCCTTGGATATTGCTAGTGGCACCTCTCCCGTTACCATTTCACCTAAGCAATGTGCTTGCAACACCCCCATAAAAGTATTATAATCCAACCACTGCAATGGGAAACTGATGTACAGAGACCGTGCAGCCTCCCCAGGAACATCTCAGGAGGCATACGGTTAAGTCAGAGATTGCATGTTGCTCCCTCGAACCTCAAGCCATCAGCCAAGCCACAAGTGCATCAGCTCTGGTAGCAGACAGGAGATACACCCTATACCTGCTTCCAGCTGTCACCACGACCGTAACAACAGTGAATCTCAACTTGAACGTATCAAACTGGACATATGCACCAAGACGGTCACACAGCCCAAAAACTCTCGATTAAAGTTCCTGGCAGTCACCGTAGCGAAGCACCACTTCTCACAGAGAAGACTGTAACCAGGCGTCTGCCAGAGCGTGAAGGAAACACCAAGCACCGACAGAATCACGAAACTGCAACAGAGAGGAGTTCAAAACATTCCTCGGAGGCCGTGTTTGCTTATTTGGAGCACCTCCTGCACCTTGACTGAACAGACTGAACACGCTCCCAGGCTACTTTGATTTCTCATGCTGTAAAGCAGCCTGCATTTTCAGAAGGCATCCAACTCCTGCCAGCTCTCTGCCTTCAGGCTTTCTGCCTTTGCAGTTTATTTGGGCAACTTTCCAACAAAAATTTTTGCAACCTGAAGCATGTTGCAGCATCACCGGTACCTACACCTGCTCATGAAGCCACCCTGACACTGCTTGGTGAATTTAACCTGTAACAGTGAGGTGAAATGCAAAGCCAGGTCCACCTCTCAGCAGAGAAGGCAGAACAAAGAACGGTGGATATTATAACATTAAAAAAAAAGAAACAAAACAGGGAGAGTGGGGCTGCTGGGTGCTGTGGGGATTGTGGTGTAATCTCTACCCTGGTAGAAGGTTGTTTTCCTTCGGTTTCCCTTGGCACTCAGGTCTACCAGCTAAGTCAACAAGTCCTGAGAGCACAACAAGATGTTTACCTGGGTGCTTAAACGTAAACTCTCCAAGTGAGTAAGAGACCTATGTCTCTGTCTGGAAGACTGCTTGTGACTTGTGCTCCTACCCAAGCAGGAACGTCACACCTTAGCTGTGAGTCGTCAGAGTTGGGCTCACAGGAGTCACAGAAATCCTATCAAACGAACGCATCTATCCCCTCGATTTTTACTGTGGGATTTTAGGAAACACTCCATGCTGCCCCACACATCTTCATTGCATGTCTGTCGTGCTGGAGCTCTCTTTACAACACAGAAACACTTAGAGTACAATCCAAAAAACTTGGACCTAAATTAGTAGAAGATTA